CAGCCTCTCGACAATATGCGTTTTTGCTGGCTGTAGCAGCGCTGCACAGCAAAAACGCATAAAAACCACAAAAAACGAGGCAAAGCCGCAAAAAATGTCGTCAAATTACGAGGAAAATATCAATTAATGAAAATTTGGCTTCCCCTAATGGTTCCGATCAAGTGCCGTCGAGTGGAGGGGAACTGGACCTTATTCTCGAAAGCTATCTAAATCAGAACAACCTGAACAGCAGCACTTTTTCGCCATTCATAACAGCCTGTTCAATGATTGCTAAGGATACAACCATTTTGAAACCATTCTCAACAATGCCGATTTTATAATTATGCAACGCAAATGTAGCCTGAAAATGAGCGAAAACATACTCAATTGTCCAGTGAAGAAAAAACTGAATATTGGGCCTAGCGTAGTGCTAAATATCATTAAACTCATGCTTCGGTTTTGCTAGCGGAGCCCCACGAACTGCTTATTCGTTTTGATGGTAAAAATGGTATTAGCGCATGTCAGTGCCATTTAGCTATCAGTGAACAGCCCGTGGTTTCTGTTACTAATGTGCTATCACTCAGACTATTCCAAGCGCCTCCATCTTTCGCGCAAAAAAAATATGGAGGGGCTGTTTCTGATAATCTGTTGCAAGCCACTTCTATACAGCAAAAAATCGACATTTAGAAGAAAAAATTTTTAGCGTTGTGATAACTTGTTAGTTTTGAAATCCCCTACACATTCACACTGACCTGTGTGTGCCACCGGTGCAATTAGCCCTGCCGATTTACCTTTCACAGTTTTCCTTTCTCACTCATTCCCTCCATCCTATCTGTACCAACTATCAATGTATCTGTCCTTCGAATAAAAAAGTGTTATCAATAACTCATTTGGTTCGAGATGCACAAGTTGCTTAGTTTCGAATTACCGAGCAATCGCTTACCCAGTCATATTTGATGCCTTTGTCGAGATTCAACTCCTCCAGTAAAGCGCTAGCAATTGTCGCTGTTTGCTTCCCCCGGGTGTTCGTTTTGCGAGTATCATTCGTAACAAAAGTCTCATTTGGCGGGAATGCTAAAAAATTTCATTCAACATTCCGAAGAATACAAGAAGGCGGGAACTGTCCAGCCTTGACTAACAACATCCCAGACCTGCTACTGCTACAATGAGACAGCAAAAGAGGTGACATACATAATGGCACCATCTGACAGGCCTCTTCAACCAATGGAGAGGTGCCGGAAGTGTCTTGCAAAATCGTATCCAGATCAGCAGCAGAAAATTTCTCATCAAAGAACGATTTACTGTCGTAATTGAAATTATCCAGAGAAGTCTGTAGTGTCGCTGGATCATTCAGTGCCGAAGGCAGAGTCGACGGATCAATCAACGTGGATGAGAGTGCTGGATCTGTAATTCAAAAACGACCGTGCAGAGTTACAGCACAACTTTCATATTCGTCTGAAAACGCCGGGAAAATCAATCCCTCTATCAGCCCTGTATTCTTTTTGATGACAGACTAATACTGTCGGGTCCTAGGGAAACAGAAGCGCTTTCAAGTTGCCAGCAAACAACCATTCGAAAATGGAGTCATCGACAAACTTATTCGAGAACGGTTGCTGCTGACATGTGCTGCCGCTCAGGCGTCTGCGCAGTGTCCTCACCCTTCACAAACAGTGAACAAGGAGGAAATTTGGACTTTCCCTGCTCACGTTTTAGGTAGACAGGACGATTTAACAGTAATATTCAGTAGCTGCAATATGACTTTCTTTAAAACACATAAATATGGTACATTACTAACGCAAAACGGGGGCGGAGGGGGGGGGGGAGACTCCTAAGTGCGCCAAAGTGGAATAATTGGCCAACGCACGGGCTGCCCGTGCGAAGATGCGCTTTTGCATGATTCCCCGCAGTTTTTATTGCTACCGGCACCGGTTTTTCGGCAAATGCTTCTAGCTAAACAAATTAAGACTGGCCACCAGAACTGTCAGAAAACATTCTCCTTAAAATTTCAGCTTTCTAGCTTTCGTGGCCCTGAGTTAGCAACTTACTGGAACAAAATTTTCATGGGCCCGTGCATGTTTACCAAGCATGCCTGAGAGCTGGGTTCGAGCTGAATGAAATTTAGGTGGACGGGGTATATCCTCTCAAAATTGTATTCCTTTAGTTTCTCAGGAACTTGAGTTATCAATTTACACGAGAAAAATTTTGGCGGGCCCGTACGTGGGTACCACGCTTACCCGGGGGGCTGGGTTTCAGCCCACTAATACCCACTTGGGCGGGGAACATTACCTCAAGATTTCAGCTTTCTAGCTTCTCAGATCCCCGAGTTATGAACTTACCCGAGAAAAATTTTGGCGGGCTCGTACGCGGATACCACGCTTACCCGGGGCTGGGTTTGAGCCCACTAATACCCGGTTGGGCA